TATATATATATATATATATATATATATAATGTATGTATGCATGTGCTTAACGTTCGTGTCCAGGCATAATGAATATCTCTTTGACATTAAGAGAGAAGTTCAGACTTTCATTATATATTACATATATATACACACACACACACGCGTATATTGTAGACATACCAAAAAGCTGAGGAATAAAGTTGTATGATTTTAATTACAAAACCCCTAACGGAAATTATAAAAAAAAAAAAAAGAAAAAGAAAAAGACAGAAGATTGTCTCATTGAGGACAAAGACAGTATAGAGAGCATGCAGTCGCTGCGGTGGTGGGCTGCGTGGATGCAATATCTAATGTGGAAAAGAAAACTCCAAGACTACCACCCATATATAAAAAAAATATCTTTACATGTTTACATAATTAATTAACCATAGAAAATTATCATGAAAAAGACACGCCTGACCAAATACAAGTAAATAATCACGATCCATGCGCAAAATGGTCCACGTAAGCCCATTTTAATTTATAATCGTAAAAACCTAATCGAGTCTCTTAGTGCTCTAACCTAACCGAAAGAAATAACATGCCAATATGCATCTCCACTTTCGTTTTATATACATATAATATATAATAAAGTTTTTTTCCTTTTCCGGTATTTTCTATTTTAGCAAAAACAATATCGTTCATCTGACCTCTCGAGAGGCATCGGGCTGCACCAAGCAAATATGAAATACCTATTCAATAAAAAAAAACATTTTTGAATTAATGCGAGTTCTTTTTTTTTTTTTTTGGCGCAAATGAAACACGCGCACTAGATTCATGGTGAGCGTTTGGGAAACGATGGGCCTAAGCCCAATAGTGAACTTAATGGGCCCAATCAGGCCCATTATTATGATAACTTGGTGAGCTTTGGTTTTTGTTCCCTAACCAAACCCCCGGGACAGTGTTCAAACGGAACAGAACCACAATGAAAATGGAAATGAAAACCCTAGCTGCTCCTTTGCTTCGTCTGGTGTTGAGACAGATTATTGGGCCAAATATTGTTGAGGTAATAGCAGTTATTGGGCCTGCCTTTAAGCCCATTTTCAAATGGTCTGACGACTCGACACATATTGAGGCAGAATGGCATGCTACGGTAATTAAAATCGTAAATCAGGGGCGTTTTTCCTGTGCCAATACGGGACAAGACCAGCACTCGCCTAGCCGTCTCGCAGTTTTGGTAAAGGTTCACCCAAATTCCCTGAGGAGAGGTTGTGAATCGATCTCTTCATTTCGAAGGCTTTCGTGTCTTGATCTTGCGATTTTGAAGGTAAGCTTCGGTCTTTACTTGGTTTCGTTCGTGATCCATGCTGCTTGGCGCTTGATCCAATCGGTTTTGGATTAGGGTTTATATTTGGGGAACTTGGATCGATGATTTATCAGAAATTGGTCGTTGTGGTTTGATTCTAGAGGGTAGTTTGTGTTTCTTTCCCCCAAATCTAGATCGGAACGTTTCGTACTTTTTCTAGTTGTTTTGTTTTTCGTTATCGGTTGATTCGTATCTATGTTGGGGTCTCTCTAGATCGTTTTATCTCGTACATGTCTTGTTTTGAATCTGAAACCCATAAATGATGTTTTGTGTTCTTCGCTTCTCTAATCTGGTTGAATTTTGATGGCAGGTTGTTCTTAACCGAGTATAAGCGATGTACAACGGTATAGGGTTACAGACAGCGAGGGGTTCAGGGACCAATGGTTACATTCAGGGCAACAAGTTCTTTGTAAGGCCTAAATCTACCGGTAAGCCCGTTAATGGTGGGAAAGGGTTTGAGGAAGGGCAGGGAACAGCTGGTCTCTCTAAGAAGCCCAACAAAGACATTCTCGAGCATGATCGGAAGCGTCAGATTCACCTTAAACTCGCCATGCTCGAGGAGAAGCTCATAGATCAGGGTTACTCTGATGCTGAGATTGCTCAGAAGCTCGAGGAAGCCAGGCTGAATCTTGAAGCTGCCACCTCTGGTTCGGAGGAGACTGGTGCAACCACTGATGCTAAGATCTCTGATACCCAGACCCATCAGATTGCTGCTAGAAAGGAGAAACAGATGGAGACGTTTCGGGCTGCGCTTGGTTTGCCCAATCAGCAAACTGATGAAGGTGATGTTGATGGTGAACCAAAGATTGAAGCTTATGAGGGTGCAGTAGGAAGACAAAAGGAGAGACGGGAGCATTCTTTTCTGGACCGAGACAGTCGGGGGAAGGTGCGTCTGGATGAGGATGGAGACGAGAAAGGTGGGAAAGGTAAAAGCCGCAAGAAGCAGCATAAGCTAGATGATACTGATGAGACTAGGCGTAGCAAGAAAAAAGGGAGCAGAAAGAGAAGGCAAGATAGTGATGATAGTAGTGATTCCTCTGATTCTGAAAGTGATCGTGAGCGCAGAAAACGCTCTTCAAAGAAGCATAAGGGGCGTAGGCAGGAAACTGAGAGCGATTCTAGTGACTTTGACTCTGACAGTGACAGTGAGAAGGAAAAGAGAAGGAAGGCTGCCAAGAAGCGCATAAGCAGCAGACAGGATGATAGCTCTGATTCTGAAGTCAAGAGCGATGAAAACGAGAAACGTGTGAAGACCCATGAAAGGCATCGCCCTTCATATAGATCTGAATCTGAAGAAAAGTCAGACAGGTATCATGGACGGAGAAGAGAAGAGCCAGCAAAGAAGAAGCAGAGGCATGACTCTGATGATAGCGAATCCGAGCCCGAGAACCGGAGTGATGAAAGGAAGAAACATGTGAAGACCCATGAAAGGTACCGTCCTTCAGAAAGATCTGATCCTGGAGATGAGCCAGACAGATATCGTGGGTGGAGAAGAGAAGAGCCGGCAAAGAGGCAGAGGCATGGCTCTGATGATAGCGAACCCGAGCCTGAGGACAGGAGACAACGCCAAAGGTTCGAAGGCTACCACAGAGGGAGAAAGCACGGCCGAGATGAGGAGGATGGCCGCGACTATAAGCATGGGAGAGAGAGAGACAGAAGATGGTGACATAGTTACCAGAGAGCGATGGAGCTCGAGAAAGGGTCGTAACTATGATGGGAGGTCGGTCGAGATCCCTTTGTGTTGTGTCGCTTAAATCTTTCTAGTTTCATGCTTTCTGTGTGTTCAGGTTTACTCTTGTGGTAATTTGGATTTGCTGGTGTAAACGCCTACTACTTGTTTTAACGTTTCTGTAGGAATTTACTCATCGGACTAATGGGCTATAATATTTTACCATTTGGGCCTCTGTAGGCCGAACACCTATAATAGGTATTAAACCCATACTGAAATGGGCTGGGGCCTCACTTTTTATTATTTTGTTTTTAGAATACAATGGCAGTAAATCATGGTACGTGCCACGTGTTTTTGGTTACTTTTTGGGACTTATAAATACGGCATGCTTTATATACATATACTTTTGTTATATCAGTTCACATTTTTGTGTCAGATAGAAAATCAATACCTTCTTTGGTAGGAAACACTTTGCAAGATTTGCGTTTGCGTTGATGGATTATGAGCCAACCGCAACCAGTTACAGTTAATGGCGCCTAAGAGACCGCGTTTGCGTTCCAGATTGTCAAGCCGTATGTAGCCCGCGAGCAAAGCCAGCTGTCGTGTTTGCGTTTGGAACGCTAACGCGGAGTGAAGCTTTTCATCAACCCAAACACGAGTTAGCGTTTCTAGTCGACACCCAACTAATGCAAATACAAATCCCATGTCTCCAAAGTAAATCAAATAGTTGTGGTATCAAATTCGATTTTGTATGCAAAGATTGAATCTTTTTATTATGAAAATTAAGTAAAAAATCCGAATTTCCCTTCGCCGATTGCATTTAGATCGAAATGACGAGAAAGATTCTCAGATGTTTATAATCTGAGAGGAGGGAACGCGGGACGAGAAAATAAAAAAAAACAAAAAAAAAAAAACGGTGCGAAGGTGGGGGAGATGAAGAGCCGGTGAAGAGAGAGATGTTCTGTGCTTGTGAGCTTCCATAGCTGGCTCTCGAAGGTTCAGGTACTTCCTTTGATTTTCTCTCTTTTGTTGGGCTGATTCCAATTCCAGTTGCTGTTGTTTCAATTTTGACCAACTTCAAGGAATCGCTTCACCTGGCTGCGATTTCTCTTCTGGAGTTCGCATTTGTCGGTTTTTGGCGAAACCCATGAGTAAATGTCTTGTTTGCATTTGGAGTTTCGGTTCCACGGATCAGATGGGATGACCAAGATTCTCGTGTTGTGTCTCTGTTTTCGAGTTTTTAGGGTTTCAAAATCATTGCTGCAGAAAATTTCCGGTGACCACAATGAGTAGACCCACAACTCGAAACAAGAACAAAAGACAGAGACCAGAGGACGCCGTCGATTCCTCTTCTCAAATTCTCCGGTATGACTGACATTGATTTCGATTCCTTGATCATCTTTCCGGTATTGACTGTCTCAACGCATTTCTGCAGCAAAATCCATGATGCAAACGATGTAACTGATGACGACATTAATCAGCTGTTCATGATAACAAAGCCAGTTTGTCAGGGTTGTCGTGTGAATACCCGTGACAATCCAAACTGCTTCTGTGGGTTGATTCCCCCAGTCAATGGAAGCCGCAAATCGGGTTTGTGGCAGAAGACAGCCGACATCATACAGTCCTTTGGTCCTGACCCATCCTTAGATGGGCGTGCTTCTGATTCCACGCCGGCTGGTCTGACCAATCTTGGCGCAACATGCTATGCTAACAGCATACTTCAATGTCTGTACATGAACACTGCTTTTCGGGAAGGGGTTTTCTCTGTTGAGTTTGATGTCCTAAAACAGTATCCAGTCTTGGATCAACTCGCCCGTCTATTTGCACAGTTGCATAGTAGCAAGATGGCTTTTGTTGATTCTGCTGCTTTTGTGAAGACGTTGGAGTTAGATAATGGAGTTCAGCAAGATAGCCATGAGTTCTTGACATTACTTCTTTCCTTGCTTGAGCGCTGCTTACGCCATTCCGGAGTTTCCAAGTCAAGAACAATTGTGCAAGATCTCTTCCGTGGTAGTGTCTCGCATGTGACAACGTAAGATTAGGATTGACTTTTTAAAGCTTAAGCTGATTTGTTTGGTTCAAATCACGTGCAAGTTAACATCTTGATATAAATTAAGTGATTTGAAAGGGAATAGTTGCATGCAACGTAACATTGAAACAGAAATGCAGCTTCTTTCTGGTATCTGTGTCATCACTCGACCTTTTCTCGTTTCACCTTGTTTTCTCATAGGTGCTCAAAATGTGGGAGGGATTCTGAAGCTTCATCACAGGTGGATGATTTTTATGAGCTTGAGCTGAATGTGAAGGGCTTCAAAAATTTGGATGAGAGTTTGAATGATTACCTTAGCTTAGAGGAGCTCAATGGGGATAATCAATATTTTTGCGGATGCTGTAATGCTAGAGTAGATGCCACACGTTGCATTAAGCTTCGCACACTGCCTCCTGTTCTCACTTTCCAGCTCAAACGATGTGTTTTCCTTCCTAAGGTAACAGATGAAGTGGTTCATCTATCTTGTGATGCTGTTAGTTTATGAGTTAACCTTAAAGACTATTTTGATCGGTCATTTTTTTGTGATTCGAATTAGTTTTAAAGTGCCTTCGAAATGCATCTTTTCTCTTTTGTTGACTTAAAAATGTTTCAGATTTAGTTTTTGGCTTGTAGATTGATTTCCACTTAATCCGATGGATTTTTCCCGCTTTTATTTTCCTTTTTTTCTTTTTTGTTTCGGATTATAAATCATATCCATGCATGTTTGTGTTTCATGCTTATTATCATACTTTTTCCTTTTCATTTGTCTCATCAGTGAGATGTTCTCTGCTCGTGATAAAAGCTATTCATCATTTAGTCCATCTTAGTATCTGATATGATCAAGATGAAATTACATAACTTTTCTTTTTGGGCGGATCATGTCAACAGACCACAGCAAAGAAGAAAATTACTTCTTCATTTTCCTTTCCTGAAGTACTGGATATGGGACAGAGGTTGTCTGATTCTTCTAAAAAAGAGCTGATATACGACTTGTCTGCCGTGCTAATCCACAAAGGGAGTGCAGTAAACAGTGGACATTATATTGCTCACATTAAGGATGAGAAAACTGGTAAGTGGTGGGAATTTGATGATGAACAAGTCTCAGATCTTGGTCAACGACCATTTAAAGAAGGCTCTTCGACTCAGCATTTGGAGAAAAATGGTGTTGCTGGTAGTGGGAGCACTATGGATATGACTCAGTTAGGCTCGTCGGAATGTAGCTCTACTATTCAGTCTGAGGTTTTCTCATCCAGTGATGCTTATATGCTGATGTATAGTCTTAGATGTGCTAAACAAGAAAATCAGAAAGGGCATACAGAGATTCCTGTTTCTTCAGCAAATGGATGTTGCTAATGCCTTCTTGAATGGAGAATTGAATGAAAAAATTTTCATGGTTCTTCCTCCTGGCACTACAAAAAAAACCCCTAATATCAACGGATTTTTCCGTTGAAATAGCCCAAATATCCGTTGAAAATGTTGATTTTCAACAGAATTTTCAACGGACGTAACCCGTTGCAATACGGTCGTTGAAATCAAGATTTTGTTACCAACCGTTGAAAATGTCAACGGATTATCAACGATAAAATTCCGTTGATAATAGCAACGGCATGGTAACAGAATAATCCGTTGATATATGTCAACGTATTTTGCAACGAATAAATCCGTTCCATATTTCAACATATATCCGTTGATACACACCGTTGCAAATTTGCAACAACAGCGATCGGTGGAAAAATCCTGCTGATCTTGCTACAAGGGAAGTCGAAACAGTCAATCAACTTGGAAGTGCTTATCTTCCATCTCATCTTTATGAAGAAATCAATAATATGAATGCTTCATACCTTGAGAGTTGCAAGCAATTTGATATGAGAAAGGAAAGAGAATTGAATTCTCTCACTGAAAGGAGGCAAGAAACACGAATGATACTTTCAGAAGCCCCTGTACAGTCACTTGAAGATCAGTTTTTCTGGATCACCACAGACTGGCTTCGTCAATGGGCTGATAACATAACGCCACCGTAAGTAACAGCTCCTCCTGCATCTAAATCTGCTTCATAATACACCTTCTGGGTATCCTGATTTCAAAGAAATGTATTTTAGTGTTTGTAGGTATTGACTTATATGTTGATCTCTCATCTCCTAGATTTTATTTTATTTTTTCTTGCAAGTGATACAATTTAATTGCAATCCTTTCATTCTAGTCGAATGCCTTACAATTTTGAACAGATTAGTGAGTTCTGTTTCTCTATTTTCCTGAGTGGTCTTGTTCTCCTGCTATGCAGTGCTTTGGACAACACTCCTATATTGTGTTCCCATGGGAAAGTTCTTCCATCCAAAGTCAATTCCATGAAGCGAATATCTGCACTTGCCTGGGCCAAATTAACATCCAAGGTATGCGATTGTGTTTTCTCCCATCATTTTACTCGATTTATTTTGGCTTTGTTCAGTTCATTTTCTTCTTTTTGGTCATATAAATCCTCTTTTTTAGAGCTTGCTTATGAAGGGATGTTTACCTATATTGGTTCAAGATTGTTCTTTTGGCTTTCTTTAGGCACTTGCTGGTGTCAGGATAGTTCAATTAATTTTTGCAATTAGACAGAAACTTGATGCATGCTTCATTTATTCTAGAATTATGTCAGGGTGTAGGAGAATCACCTGTAGATCCCCTGAATCTCTCTCTCTCTCACACTCACACACACAACAAATTTGTGTATGGATTAAACGGTTGTTGAAAAGTCTTGATAAGTATTTCTTTTGATAAGCGTGAGTTTGATGCTTTGGATATATTATACTACGGTACCGTGACTGTTGTAGTTGTTGTTATGCATAGTTATTTTTCCTTGAGGTCTTTGGTGGGAGAAAATAGATTCGACGAGGTTAATCTTTTGCTAGTCTAATGCATGTTTCTAGCTTCCACTTAGCATACACATTCTGGTTTCAGTTGCTACATGGCCGTTATTCATCTCTGAAGATATATTATGTTATCTCGACTGATGCAACCATTCTACTGGCACTCTTTCTTTCAGTACAAGGGTGGACCAGAGATAGGGAAAGGTGACTACTGCAGGGACTGCCTTATTGATGGTGCTCGCATGGTTGTCTTTGCTGACAGCTATAGGGATCGAAGAACATTCATGAAAGGCATAGTCAGTGATGTTCTTTCTGGAAAGTGTGAAGACGGAAAATACTTTATTTCCAGAGTTTGGTATGGTTGCAAGTGCCCTGCAACTTACAGCTTTTGTGATTACTCGTTTTTGTTCATTTGTGCTTAGCGACTGTTTGAAGCTTGTGCAATGGCATGTTAACACTCTTACGTTATTGCAAAGTTTTATTGGACGTTTCTAGCAGAAAGCTGCTTTTGTATGGACTTATTTTTAGGCAGACGCAACACTGAAGCTTCCTGGTTAATCTCTCTCCTAATTGGCAAAGGCATTTTGTAGGTTGCAGCAGTGGGTGAAAAGGAAAAACCTTGATGCTCCTACTGAAGCAGATGCAGGGCCAACTAATGCAATCAGGTGCCAACATGGACAGCTGATGCCTGAGCAAGCATCTGGGGCGAAAAGGATTCTAGTTCCCGAGAATCTTTGGTCATTCCTTCTTGAAGATGCAATAAAAGTGAAACCTGATGATACATCAGGATGTTCTTGTTTCCCTTTGGACTCTGTTCAATGCTGTCATTGCAGTGAAGAGCTTTCTGAAGTTGCATGCTTAGAGGATTCACTAAGGTTATCCATGATTAATTAGTATTAATGGTTTGCTCAGGATATTCTTGTGGAGTTACTTACCTTCTATATAATTTAACAGAACATTAAAGATTAAGCAGCGCCAAAATCACGAGAAACTAGCCTTGGGAAAGGGCATCCAATTAACTCCTGGTAGCCGATATTTTGTGTTACCTTCTCGGTGGCTTGTGGAATGGAGAAGCTATGTTAACATGAGTGGGAAAAATAGTTCATCAGTACCGGAACCTGATTTCCTGAACAAGGTCATGGATACTCTCAAATGCAAAAAGGTATTGATTCATCCCTGGAGTTGAAATCCTCCATCACGAATTAAAGAACTCTGTCCTTTTCTTTAAGTGTATCAACCTTTGTTCAGCGGTGACTTCTTTTGTAATGTTCTGACACCTGGCAATGGGAACTGGATGTGTGATTTAGAATCAGTTGTGCTAACTGGTTTCTCTTTTTCATTGTAATTGAGATTCTCTTACCAGTTTGAGTTTCTGTGGATATGGTTGTCTGGATTACAGCTTACTAGTTGTTATATCATACATATACTTGTAGGTGGTGTTCCTCTTCTTTTCCCCTGTTTGAACTTCAAATTAATAGTTCTCTTTTGTGTTTTTTTTTTGTATCAGCACGCAAGACTCCAAGAAAGGCTCCCTGAAATTGTCTGTAGACGTGGCTCGTTTTTTCAGAAAAGTCCTGCCGTAAGTGAATGAGATATTGTGAAATGTTTTTAATCTATATTTCTTCGAAATTGTTGGGTTTGATAGGGCTTCTTATGGTTGTGATATCGTTCCAAAAGTTGATAATATAGAAGTAGAAGCCTCACTCGTGCTTCTCCTGGTTGCATTTAGCATCATGTCTTCCTACTTGATTGTGTTATTACATTGTCTTATCCAAAATTCTATCACGTGTTTCTTTGTAATTTTAGACAGACAAGTTGACGATTGTCCCCGAGCATGATTGGAGATGTTTCTGTGAGGAGTGGGGAGGTATCTTGGAGCATGGAATATCTGCTGTTCTTGAGGTCGGTGACTGTGCGGAGAATCCTTTTCTGTCCCAAGATATCACGGCTCGTGAGAAGCAGCTTTCTTCCTCCGATGATAATAACGAGACTTCTGCTCAGCAACTTTTACTCAAGACATCCCCAGAGGTAACATCAATTATTTTTTAGTTTTTTTTTTTTTAACTCAGCCTCCTAATGGTGACGGAGGATAAGATTCTATCAATTGGGATTTAATTTCAATAACTAGACTAACTCTTAACTACTTTTATGGGGCCTAATAAGCCTAATATTCCGTAATCACCAGTGAATCTGTGCACTGACATGTCTAGTTTTTGTGCTTTATGTTGAAAAGTCGATTTGATCATGTGGAGATATACAACATAAGACCATTTCGTCTTGTGATTGAGACTTTCACGTTTTGGCAGATCTGTGAGGAATGCATAGGAGAGAAAGAGAGCTGTGAGCTGATGGAGAAACTTAGCTATTCCGAGGGGGATGTATTTATATGTCTTGTGCATGGAAAGGAAGCTCCAAAGGCGATGCTAGAGGCATCTGATTCCAGTTTCGAGGCCATGAAACGCACCTCAAAGAGATCTCGGAGAACTAACTATGGGAATCTAATAAATCTGAAAGTTTCCGCTTCGACATCCGTATATCAATTAAAGATGATGATCTGGGAATCACTTGGGGTAATATCTGCTTTTTTTTTTTGGTTATAGATTACAATGAGAGAGATTCATCATCATATGTTAATATATGCAGGTGGTAAAGGAAAACCAGATTCTTCATAAAGGCACACGGGTAATTGACCAGGAATCTGCAACGCTTGCGGATATGAACATATTCCCTGGAGACAGGCTTTGGGTGAAAGATTCAGAGATTCACGAGCCCCGTGATATTGCTGGTAACTAACATATTTTTTGAAATATTAATCTTGCAGAAGCTGAATTTGTTTTTTTTTTGAAAATTTACTGAACACCCTTTTACTTGGCCAAAAAAAATGGCCATTGATGTTGATTGCAACAGATGAGCTGTGTGATAAGAAAATGGAGGTTGAAGATCTGGAAGAAGGGTTCCGTGGAACGCTCTTAACTGCGGATATATCTTCTGAGGCTAGCTAGAAGTTGTTAGTTTTTGTACAAATAGACGACGGAGAGAAGCCATTTGGACCATTTAGGTGAAAAAAAGCTCGCTGTTGTCGGAAAAAAAACTGTCACGCCCTTGGAATGTGTTTGTATACGCCTTTCGGGTATCGGAAAAGTAGAAAATGGCCTGGGTTTTTGGGGTATTTTGCGCGCAGGCAGGTCGGGAGCGAGCGCCGTTTTTCTTTTTTTTGTAAAGGCAAAGCTGCGAGCTTTGTGCAGGATGACTGGCGGATCTGTAAAAGCCGGACTTTTGTAAGCAAAAAGGCTTTGGGTTTACGGATGGAGAATGGAGCCGCCTGACGACCTTTTTCTTTTGATTGGTAAAATTCATGGTTTCCTTTGGCGTCCAAGTCTGATCCTTTTCGGGTTTCCTTACCGACCCCTCGATGAATACATTTATTTGTATGGGTGTAACCTTTTTAGGCGTACTACTGGTCCAATGTTTTTTTTTTTAATTTGTTTAAAAAACGTGTTCATGAGCGGCAAATCTTTTTTTTTTTTTCCCTTTTCGTGTGTGCTTTCATTTTTTTCATTGGACCAATTGACTTCCCCGATTCGTCTGTGCTTTCATTTTTTTCATTGGATCAATTGACTTCTTTTTCTTGTTTTGTCGTGTCTTATAGAGCTGGACATGGGTTGGGTACCCGCGATTTTGGAGATACCTGTCTTCGTCTTCGCGGATTTCTTGAAAACAATGTCTCACTTTCTATCTCATTAACACCGGGTATGTGTCGACCAGATACCCGTGATTAAGAGACGCGTACCCACGGATACCCATACTCATAAAATATATATATTTTTTAAATAAATATAAACCAAATATTTAGTAAAATTATATTAATTCAAAAATATATTTAAAATATAAAAATATATATATCTTTAAATATATATAGATTTTTTTTTAAAAAATTTAATATATATGTTAATTTTTAAAAGTTAAAACCTAATATTTAAATAAATAATTAAAAAAATATAGGAATATTTGATATTTTTATATATTTACGGTACCCGTCTTTGTAAAAATAAAATTCGTACCCGTCTTCGTTGTCATTTTTATTTATCCGTCTTCGTCTTTATTCGTAGACGAGTACCCATTTTTCGGATACCTATGACATCGGGTATCCGAAAACCGGCGGATAACGGATATAAATGCCCAACCCTAGTCTTAGTTTTGTTTCGAGTCCTGCATGCTTTTTAATTGTTGGGCTCTTTTGATGGGCTAACGTTAGACGTATTTTTAACTTTCACAATGGGCTCATGTAAAACCCATTATAATTCCTGTATTTATTTCCTTCTCTGTCTCACACCGTACTCTTTCCACTGAGGGGGGGGGGTATGGCTTATGGGCATTGGTTTGGTTTTGAATCGGTTTTTTAGGGTTCAATAAATAATTCAAAATCAGCGTATAAATAGAACTGAGCAATATTTTATTTATACTCTTGTTCGTTTTATTTATCTCGGGGGTTAAGCTTTGGTATTTTTCAAATGAAATATTCGTTTCGATTCAAGAGCTTTCGAGGATGGAGCATTTGGTTTGGTTTGTATTGGACCGGTTTGAACCGGGCCGGTTACATTGAAACCCCGATCTGATCGCTACCTACCTACCGCGCTGTCATGCTGTCTCGTAGGTGAAGCAAGAACACCGCTTTTTCCGAGAGATGGCGACGATTCCATCTCTCGTGCCTCCAAGTATAAAACACAAGACGACAGAGCCTTGCAAATCACGAAGAGGGTTGGTGGATGAGCTTCTGAAGTGGGACCGATTGAAGCTGCTGCTGAATTAATATAAATTATAATCTCAATCACTTTGGTTATGGTGGTTGGTGTTAGGTGGTGAAGAAGCTCATTTCTTCTTCTGTTTTCAATCTGGGCTTTGATACACACAATTCAGCAGCAATGTCGTCTGATCCGACACGATCCCAGGTCATAACCTGTAGAGGTAATTTGTCTCTTTGCTCAACGATGATCTCCTTTTCTTTTATGCAAAGTTAGAAACTTTTTTTTAGTTGTTGGATTGGGCAGCTGCGGTGGCATGGGGAGCAGGCGAGGCATTGGTAATGGAGGAAGTGGAAGTGAGTCCACCTCAAGCCCTTGAGATCAGAATCAAAGTTGTCTGCACTTCTCTCTGTCGTAGTGATCTCTCTGCTTGGGAATCTCAGGTTTCTCTTCTCTCCATTCCTTTCAGTTAATGATCCTTTTTTGAATTGTTTCTTGTCCAACACATCCCTTTTTGTTGATGCATACAGTCGATTTTCCCCAGAATATTTGGTCATGAAGCTGCAGGGTAAGTTGATTCAATACACATCTTCAGCATGTGGGCTTGGTTTAGTTGTATTCAGACCTGCCAAATGAAGAAAGACCCCTGCTTTTTTGCAGCAAATCAAGATATATGACACTGCAATGTTACTGAAGTAGTTTTATATACTCTCCCACCCATATGAATTTGCAGGATTGTGGAGAGCGTGGGAGAGGAAGTGACCGAGTTTGAGAAGGGAGATCACGTTCTGACCGTGTTCACGGGAGAATGCGGGGACTGTAGGCATTGTGTCTCGGAGAAGAAAAGTAACCATTGCCAGGTTCTGGGTCTGGAAAGGAGAGGACTGATGCATAGTGATCAGAAGACAAGATTCTCCATCAATGGAAAACCCGTCTACCATTACTGCGCGGTTTCTAGCTTTAGCGAGTACACAGTGGTGCATTCTGGGTGTGCTGTCAAAGTCGATCCCTTGGCTCCTTTGCACAAAATATGCCTTCTGAGCTGTGGAGCTGCTGCAGGTGATCAGGCTCTACTCTTTGTTTTGCTTCAAAGTTCCCAAGACATTGATATACAATACAATACAATATATGCATAGGGGTGACACCGACACGGGTCGGGTATGCGAGATTTTTGGGTTACCTGAATCTGAATCAGAATTTTTGGGGCATACGAGATATTATCTGATCTCGAATCTTTTTTAATCGAGTATTCGAAAGTTGGATATTTGAAATTAGGGTATTCAAAAATAAGATATCTGAGATAATTTTCGGGTATTTGCAAATATCTAAAGACGAGTTTAAATATGAAACTTCGACTTTTTCAAAATAAAAATATTGAATCTGGTCGGGTATCCATAATTTTTGGGTTACCGAACCCGAACCCAAAAATTCAAGGGCAGAAATGTCATTTTACTGTTCGTTCGGGTAACAACGGGTAATACCCGATCTCTAACCCAATTACCTGAACCCAAACTCGATGTTGGGGTTTCTTCACGCTCTAACCCGGGGTCATTTCATATAGTGCTCGGGTCCTGAATTTTTTTTTTGCCCAGAGCTACAATTTGGTATTCTTCACGCTACAATTTGGTGCAATTTGGGAAACTAGCTTCCTGCTATGTAGAGTTCATTTACTATACACAATCATACTGCTGCTGAGGACCGAGGGAATATTTCAGGTCTTGGTGCAGCGTGGAATGTCGCCAATGTATCGAAAGGTTCAACTGTTGCGATATTCGGGCTTGGAACTGTCGGGCTTTCAGTAAGTAAATGTGATAACTTTAGATGATCTTTTTAACCTCTTGAAGTATGGTTTTTACCTCTGAAATCTCTTCTCATGTGACAAAGGTTGCTCAAGGAGCCAAGCTCAGAGGAGCAGACCGGATTATCGGGGTCGATATAAACCCTGCAAAGGCCGAAAAAGGTATAACGGTATAAACTAAGTGTTTCTGCTGCTTACCTATCTGACTGTACCTTATTTATTGACACAGCAAAGATCTTTGGTGTCACGGAATTTATCAATCCCAATGACTATAATGAACCTGTTCAACAGGTAAGCATTTCAATCCAATTTTTACTCTTGGCTTGGATTAATAGGAACAGAAGATAGATCTTTGAAATGTTTTCAGGTAATCAAACGTGCAACGGGCGGAGGAGGAGCAGACTTCTCGTTTGAATGTGTTGGTGATACCGGAATAGCTACAACCGCATTGCAATCTTGTTCAGACGTGAGCTTTATTTCGTCTATCGGTTTTGTCTCTCGTCTCTCTTATCTGTGACAAATTCAAATCAAAAGGTTTAAAACTATTGGGTTTCAGGGATGGGGAGTGACCGTAACTCTTGGTGTTCCGAAAGAGAAACCTGAGATTTCAGCTCACTATGGAGTCCTCCTCTCTGGAAGAACTCTCAAAGGGTCTTTGTTCGGCGGATGGAAGCCTAAGTCGGATCTTCCTTCCCTCATCGGAAAATATATGAACAAGGTATGGATGGAAGTGTGTCCATTGCCGTAGTTTATTACAAGCTTTTTAGTGTATGGTTCTTGGAGTTGAAATGAGATTTTTTAACAGGAAATCATGATCGATGAACTGGTGACCCACGACCTGGAATTTGTCGATATCAATGGGGCTTTCGAGCTTATGAGAGAGGGCAAGTGTTTGCGTTGCGTTCTTCACATGCCAAACTAGACTTTGGAATCTGTAACCATCTATTTCTCCAGTTGATGATACTGACGATGATGTTTCTGTAATAAGCCTGTTGTTGATCATGTCTTTGTGTTTGTTATCAAACGAAAAACCCAACGCCCGACAAGGATTTAGCTTGAACCAGAAGTAAAATGGCTGAGTAGAAGAAGCAGCAGCAACAGATAAAGGTTTATCTTCATTTTCCAGATTATACACGGAACACATAGTTCATCAGCGATCACCATTTCGATCAAATACCGTATAAGAAGTGAATAGAAGGCGATGGGATGGCGATATTTCACCGTCAACAGAAGTTGTATACACATTTAATAGAATCAGCTTCTTCACATTTTCTTTCCCGTCCCCTCGTTTTCTCTTCAACCAAGCACAAAACTTTTTGCAGATGTAAGATTCTTCATCGCATTTCTCAGAAAGCCCAACACTTTCGAAGTCCCGTAGAGAGAGAGGGAGAGCCTTCGGGTGTGTTCTGGAAACCATAAAGTAGACAAAAGGCCTAAAGGCTGAAACTTCTTTTCTGGCCCAAGCTCCTGGGCTATGGTTTGATTCGACGAGTACCAAGATCTTCAGTGGGGAAGGAAAAAGTTCTAGTTTTTTTTAAAAAAAAAAAATCTTTGGGGGTACTTTGATCGATGTGACATGCGGTCTCTAGCTCTCGCTCTCTTTGTCCCTTCAGAGCTCGAGCGCCATGGAGGAATCGGAGGGAAGAAAACCCATAGCTCTGTTTATGGCTTTCGGTACCAAAGGCGATGTCTACCCTCTTGCTGTAATCTCTCTCTCTCCCTCTCTCTTGGAATCTGAGCTTCAAGTTTCTTAAAGACACCACGAAGTGTTAATTGCTTTTTGGCAGGCCATTGCTGCAGCTTTCGGTTGTGACCAACAACATTATCGAGTGATTTTGATGTCTCATTCGGCTCATGAGGTTGTTTTTTCCCCCGGAATTCGATTCCTCGAGTTTCAGAAACTGTGATTGATGACTGATTTTCTTTTCCTTCTCTCCAGAACCTGAGGTCTCACTTGAACAAAGGAAACGTTGAGTATTTTCCTATCTCATCTCCTCCTGCTCTGTCAAGTGAAGCTCACGGAAATGGCGACGCCACAGGTTTCATGGACATTATTTTTCTCTCCTTATATCATTGGGATGTTTCCTTGCTCCCCATTTGAGCTTTTTCTTCATACCCCATCTTCTCCCTCTCTGTATGCTCTTCAAAATTTTTAATCAGACTCGTCGATGGTAAAGTTTTTGGAAGAGAAGCAGGAGATAAAAAGGGAACACAAGCGAGAATGTCATTCTGCATTCCTTAACATCTTTGGGATGAATCACTGTATGGACAGAGATTTCGTGTTGATAAATTTCTTTGCACTGGTATAGTTTGTAAAGAGTTCCTTAGTATCCTCAATTCATAAACCCACATAATCTTTTGCAAGCAAACATCTTTTTGATGTCATGATGAGAAAGTATTTGAAAAAGGGTTGCTTCTTCTGATGGTACTTTCAGGAAGGATGGAGCCTTGCAGAACTTTTTCAGATCCGTTGCATGGTGGCTGCACCCTACGTTGTTCCGTATAGGTAAAATAAAACCCTAGCAGCTCGGCTTTGTGGAGGTTATATAATCTCGTTAGAGCCCACTTGTTTTATGCAGTCCACCATCAGCTTTCGAACTACGGTTCAGAAGGGAACTCCCGGAGTTGTACAAGTATTTGAAAGAAGCCCCCATTGGCAAAGTATTTCATATTTTCGATTGTGATACAAACATGTTTCTGGTGTTGGTTTCTCTGATACAATTGGTTTCTTTAGGTTAACTGGAGTGATGTAATCCATTGGATGTGGCCTCTTTTTACCGAGGAATGGGGTTCATGGAGATACGACGAACTCAACCTAAGCTGTTATCCTCTTGCGGTAAATATTTTCTAAGGTAGAAACCTAGAAGGTGTCAGATGCATGTAGGAAAAGCACCGACTAACCTTCTTGTTTGTGTGCAGGATCCAGTAACAGACCTTCCGATTTGGCAAAGTCGGTCACCATCTCCCCTGCTTTTGTGAGTTCTGGGTGGTAACACTGGATTGCGCTTTTGAATCCTTTCATAGAATTAGCAGTTGTGGCTGTTTTATTTATATCTTCCGGTCACTTTGTTCAAGTTGTTTTTCTGATATACTAAAATATTGTTGGATTATTTGACCATGCAATGCAATTATTTTTCCGAATTCGAACATGTTTTGCTTTTCTCTTCTCTTCTGAAGCACATTGAAATTTCATAATGAAGTTTGTTAATGACCCAACCTTTTTTCCCTTGTGATAGGTATGGTTTCAGCAAAGAAATTGTTGAATGCCCTGGTAAGTAGGATATTGCTAGATATTGTTTTCTGTATATAGGTAGCATCTTCTTTTTGTAAAATTGCATACTGCCACAATAATGCCTTTCTGGTTTCTTTGATTTCTCTCTTCTGAGGGTGTTAGGTGACTGTCAAAGAATAAGGGGTATTAACTAATATAATGTAACAGTTCCACACATAAAAAAAGGGTGGCTGCTTTGTTTGGCACACTCTTATTTCATGCCTAGAGAGCTCATTATAATAAACTCTTGAAATTCAATCTACTTATGCTAACTCATTGACTCGGGTGAAGCTTCTTCATTCCTTGCATTGCATTGTCCTAATTTCTCCTTGTCAACAGATTACTGGCCATCGAGTGTCCGAGTTTGTGGCTTTTGGTTTCTGCCAAACGAGTGGCAATTTTCATGTGACAAGTGTGGAGGCGGTGCTGAAGAATGTTCTCACGAATGCGCAACTCATATTGGGTTGTACAGTTTTATGTCATCTCTTGTGCCAACCCTGCCTATCTTTGTAGGCCTGAGTTCTATTGGAAGGTCAACTGTTCAAGTTGTTTGTTTCCTCTTGATCACCTTTATTTTCTGAAAATTTCTCAATATTTCTGCATAAAATAGTTTAATTTCATGCTAAAATAGATTTTTTTTCTCTGTGTATGGTGTTGAGGTTTTTCTCTTTGCTTTTGCAGTATGGGTTTTGTGAAGAATCCTCAAGCCTTTCTTCGGGTGCTCCAGACTGTTACCGAGATTTCAGATCACAAATTTATCCTTTTTACAGCGGGTTATAAACCTTTGGATGCAGCAGTTTGGACTATTGCTTCTGAATCAGCTCCAAGGGGGGAACAGCCGGATCGAATTGGAGTCTCTATCTTCAATGGCAACATTTTCTGCTTCTCTGGGTTAGTACTGAGTTTCACAATACAAATTGTTGATTTGTTTCTGTTTTATGTTCTTCTTATCGGTTATGTTTATAAGCATCTAATCACATAGGGGCACAATCAAAATTCATGATAATTGAACCGACAAACCATGAGATTTTGGTCTCTACAACCTTATGAATTCTATCTTTTTTTCTTCATGTATTTAGAATGGTACCATACAACTGGCTGTTCCGAAGATGTGCTGCAGCAATTCATCATGGTGGCAGGTGAAATTCCCGGCTCGATGTTATATCTTGGTTAAGACATTTAGATAGATGGAAAGCTGATTTCACTTCTCTCTGTTCTTTTGTAAAATGTCCCCCTTATGGAAATCAGTGGTACTACTGCTGCAGCATTGCATGCTGGAATCCCTCAGGTTTGTTCTCATTCCCAAAGCAATTCGCCTTATATCATCAGGGAATTTTGAAAATCCTTAGACGTATTTTCATGAACAATTTTATCATTGTTTCGGTTGATTGCGCAAATAGGGGAAGTGCATATTGTTTTCTGAAGACTCTGCATTGTGTCTCTGTCCACAGATAATATGTCCATTTGTGATGGATCAATTCTATTGGGCAGAAAAGATGTATTGGCTTGGAGTTGCACCCGAGCCACTTAAAAGAAACCACCTGATTCCAGAGAAACTAAGTGACGATGATAGCATCATGGAAGCAGCTCAAATGGTGGCAAAAGCCATATCCAGTGCGCTATCTCCAAAAACCAGAGGACGAGCTGTGGAAATTGGTGAAAGATTGTCTCATGAGGTGATGTTCCTTAGCATCCTGTCTGTGCTTCATCCACTGGGGTATTATTTTGGCTTAAGAATCATGAAAGTTTCAGGATGGAGTTTCAGAAGCAGTTAGAGTTCTTAGAGAAGAGGTGTGTGTGACATTATGAAGCAGCAACCGGAACTTTGATGAGCGTATGGATGATCGGAACCATTCATATTCAATTCTCAAGGGATGGCTCAGATTGAACGTTAAATATGGTTCAGGTTCTATCATTTTCCTTTGAGCCGCTCGGATGGAGATGAACCACAGGGCTGGGAAGGGCAATGGCACAGTCGATTTGTTCTAGGCCATAGTAGAAAGCAGAGGTTGAATCAGAGTGAAACCAGTTTTCATGATTCATAGGCACTTAAACTCTTGAACAGACCCTGAGATGAGAAGCTCATTCTGGTCATATGATGAGGTATTTTGATATTTCCAAATCAGAATCATTCCAAAAAATTCAAAACATGGGTTTGCTGCAATGGAGAAATCCCAAGTTTTCAACCTTAGTAACTATTATCTGGACAATAATCAATTAACGGCCAATAAAATGCTTAGCTTTTTTAATTCTCGGAGGAAATAAAAAGAAGCTAAAACCCCGAAATGCGGCTGGGCTTCTTGTGACCAGACCAGACTGGGCCGATTGGTCGGGTCTTCGAGTTCGAGGAGAACCGCCGTGGCTGCTTCATGCATGGGTTCTTGCATTAAGCGTTTCGCGTTCAAAATCTGCTCCTGGTTTTGTCCTGGCTGTCTTTCTGCTTATCTCAGACTCTAAAGCCGAACCCACACTTCTTCGAAACGACTCATTAGCCATTTGTGTCTCTAAAAGTGTCAAGCAGGTGAACTTTTATGATGATGGCGTGCGCTATTGGCAACTTTGGCGCAATCGCTCCGTTGCTGCAGAGTCCCCATCAGCGGTCAGTCATCTCACCTCCCCTGCTCCGCCTACTAAAGGCCGGCATTTTCTGGTTATTTGTTGTGAGAATAAAGCCATTTTCTTGGACTTGATTACAATGCGTGGTCGAGATGTTGATTCCGTAGAGCGTCTATGTTGCCCCGGGTCGTTTATTCAGATGGTTTTCATCTTTTTCTGGTCTCTGCATCACCGTTGCAAATCGAAGCTCCTCCTCCCTCCTCTGAGATGGCACAGATCCCTCCTGCCACGTCAGCACCTGAAACTGCATCCGAGGCTGGAGCAGCGCCCGAGCCTCCAGCAGAAAAGGAGGAGGCTGCTTCAGAAGACAAAGCCACTGGGCCAAGCCCTGAAACCGTTGCAGCCGTGGAGGACAGCAGCCAGAAGACGGCACCCGAATGTTAGACGAAGACAAGAGAGAAAACATCAGAGAGTGATCCGGCAACAACTGAGAAGCAAGAGCCCACCACCAGTGTTCCTCATACAGGTGAGCTGCTTTCCCTAAACGAAGATCATCGTTTCAGAAGCACGAGGAGGGCTCGAGGGTTTTCTTACCATCCATGTCTTTGGTTACTCTGTAATGTTTCCCGGATCAAGGCGCCTTGTCCATCTACCATAACCTTGTGAAATTTACAACGCTTCTGAGATGATCATCATCATGTTTTTTCCTCCTTTGTGATTTTGTAATTTTTATTTTTTTGTATTGAATTTCAAAAGACTATTACATTTGTTTTGACTGATTTATTGGAGACTATTTTATATTATAATTCTGGTCAAAAAATGCGCCTTTTTTAATATATACAACAAACAATATAAATGGCATTATTTTTTACATTTGTTTAACACGAATATTAGACGTGACGTCAGCTACGTCGGCTTTGGGACCTTCTGTCCCAGGCAGAGTCTTACTCACGAGCTGATAGCAAGGACGAAAGAGACGAGATTAGGCGTCGTCTAGTCGGCTGATTGGCCATAAATCCTCTCTCCAACCCATCTCTCTTTTCTCTCTCTCTCTTTTCTCTCTGCCCTAAGGGAAGAGAAGAAGAAGAAGAAGAAGAAGAAGCGGAAGCAGAAGCTGAATAAAGGTGGACTATTTTTCTTCAATAATAAGCAAAAACCTAATCTTTATCGAATTCAGGAGTTGGGTTTCTCGGAAACATGTCGCACATGGTGTTCCAGAGCGCCGTCGCTCCCAAGCCCTTATCTCCTCTCAAACCCTGTCTCCCGATTCCCCGACCACTTCCGTCTTCTCTGCCCTATAAGCTCCGCCGCGGCGTCGTTAGGGCTTCATATTCGTCGTCGTCTCCTCCAGTCGACGCCACCGGCGATTCCATTTCAGCTCTCGAGCAATGCTTCATGTTGCCTTCGAGCGGTGGTGAATTAGGGCCTTCGTCATCTGGTTCGTGTTCTGCAGTTCCCACAGGGGCTCAGGTGGGACCTGTGATGAAAGGGAAGTTCGGTTCTTTTGGAGCGGTGACTCTTGAGAAGGGGAAGCTCGATTTGACCCAGAAGAAAGCCGAATCCAGCCCTGAGGTCTCTATCTCTCTCTCTCTCTCTCTCTCTCTTTATAGGGATGGAACTGATGTCAGAAACTTGTGAGTCTGTTTTCTTCTGATCAGGCAAACTACCTATGGTTTAGTGAATCACTATGTCATTTTTAATTGCAGCTTGAAGTTGGAGGTGGTGGTGGAGATATTGGAAAGAAAATCAACCATGGTGGTGGTGATGGGGGTGACGACGATGGTGATGATGATGACTACTTTGATGAATTTGATGATGATGATGATGGAGATGAAGGTGGACTCTTTAGGCGCCGCCAGTTTCTCGCCGAGGTAAGAATTCAAAATATGCTTTTTGCTTGTAGGTTTTTTGTGTCTTTAGTGTCATCTAGTCTCTCCCCAGTAACAAGTTTTGGGTTTTCCAGCTTTTCGATAGGAAATTTGTGGATGCTGTATTGAACGAGTGGCAGAAAACGATGATGGATTTGCCTGCTGGCTTTCGCCAAGCTTATGAAATGGTAAGCATCTCCGAAAAAAGCTGTCAATTCATGCTTGTTGGGACAATTGAATCCTGGTATTGATGGAGTCTTGTCTTAGGGACTGGTTAGCTCAGCTCAAATGGTGAAATTCCTTGCCATAAATGCTCGTCCAACCACTACAAGATTCATTTCCCGTGCATTTCCACAGGAGTTGTCTAGGGCCTTTGTTGGAAGGTAATTTTATGAATGGTATCTGATAGTCCATTTCTCCCTCCACAAAGCTCATTCCTTGTCTCTAAAGGTTCTTTCTAACCACAGTTGAGTTTTCTTGATATTTGGATGTGTTGTTAGCCTTACTTGTTGAAATGTTGTCATTCTGCCTCTCTAGAATGCAGAAAATTGTCAATGCAAAGAATCAGTTCACTGATTCATGCGGCTTTTCTTTTGTAGGATGGTCTTATTTGTTGAAATGATGGTGTTCTGTCCCTCTAGAATGCAGAAAATTTTGAATGTAAAGAATCAGTTGATCGATTCATTTAGCTTTTCTAATTGAAGAATCTTAGGTGTTGAGTTGATGGAATTTATTTATGTGCTTTCATAGGTTTATTGATCAATTGAACTCATGAACTGCATTCAATTACGAGGAAACTGATGTCTTAAATTGGTAACTCTCTGTCTTGTCTAGGATGCTGGCAGATCCTGCATTTCTTTACAGGCTTCTACTGGAACAGGTCACAACAGTTGGTTGCTCTGTTTGGTGGGAGTTGAAAACCCGCAAGAACAGGTGCTTTTTCCTCATTTCCTGTCCCTTTTTTATGATGTTTTTACCTACTGGTTTGGTTACTCATTCTAAATTGTCTGCCCCATCACTTACAGGATAAAGGACGAATGGGATCTGGCACTTATAAATGTTCTTACGGTATCAGTATGCAATGCAGCTGTTGTTTGGTTGTTGGCTCCATGCCGTTCCTATGGAAATACATTTCGGTTTGATTTGCAAAACACATTGCAAAAGCTACCAAACAATATGTTTGAAATGAGTTATCCACTCCGAGAATTTGACTTGCAAAAGAGAATCCACTCTCTTTTCTACAAGGCTGCAGAGTTGTCCATTCTTGGACTCACAGCAGGAGCTCTTCAAGGTTCCATGTCAAATTTTTTGGCCAGCAAGAAAAAGGACAGGTAAGGCACATAACCTTCTTCCTCTCCCGTTACTTATACAAAGCTTTACAGTTTACACTTTCCGTTTTTCAGCTCTGATATATCTCATCAAATGTATCTTGTTTTTAACAGAGTATCTGTGTCAGTCCCATCTGTTAGCACAAATGCACTCGGTTATGGTGCATTTCTTGGAATTTATGCCAACTTGAGATATCAACTACTATGCGGATTTGATAGAGCAATGACCAATCGCTTTGATGTTATTGGAGTAGCTCTCCTTTTCAGCACAGCCTTGAGGTCTTCCTCCTCTCTCTCTCTCTCTCTCTCTCTCTCTCTCTCTCTCACACACACACACGTTTGCACAATACAAGCACGAAATTCCAAAGGGTTAAGCTTGGTGATGCATTCTTTGGACTTCATTCAACACACGAACTAAAGACCTGCGATTTATATGATGAGTACAAAGGGGGTGCTAAATGCTCGTGTGCTCTAAAACTTGTGCTCTGAACTTGGTGCAGGATATTGAATGTTCAGTTGGGAGAAAGCTCGAGATTAGCATGGCTCGGAGTGGAGCCAGACCCGCTAGTTCAGTCAGATGATCTGCTGACAAAGGCATACAACCGGCCCTCAGAGGACTTACCAGCCTCCAAGTCATCTTCCAAATGGTTCATCTCGAAGAATGCGATAGTTTCAGGGCTTGGCCTTCTGGGCATGAAGCAAGAGGACTCTGCAGGTGAAGCCCCACCTCCAAAGGCTCGGCGAAAAAGAATTGTACGGAAGAAGGTACCTGCAGCCTCATAAAGAAAAACTGGGATTCATCATATGATCAAAATCACAAAACTATTTTCAGTGCCAACTAGAAGAGCAAAGTCTGGTTGTTTGTTGTTCCTTGAAGCTAATATACTTGCAAGAAGTTTTGCTGCCGGAGGAGATTCACCAAAATGGACACATTATAAACTATCAGCCCTTTTAATGCCGAGACCTCAGCTCCCAAATTCTCTTAGGAAAAACTTGTCATGTTTTTAGTTCTGGTGATGCAAATCTTTGATCAAATCTCAAACTGTCACCCTCTTCTTTTCCTTTTTGTTGTTTCTAAATTCTGACAATTAGTCAAATAATCTTATTTGTTTCTTCAAAATCTAATTCAGTATCATGTGTGCGTATAGATATGAGTAAGACTAAAAGCACCAAAAAATTGCCACTTTGGTAATCTAAGGTCATTCAGCTTTTCACTGAATAGATGATGCTCAATGTGCATATCAGACCATAAAATCAAATCTTAAAACCAACATCTACACATTCATAAAGGGGTGAGATCTGAAACTCAATGTTTTGGAAGAGGCACAAAGTACAATCAGACAACTTTGTATTAGGACAAATGAATTGAACTACAAAAGCTAAGGGAAATGAATAATTTCTGTGGGTGGGGGGAGGACAGAAAAAAGAGCCAAAGTTTTGCGCGGCCAAACGCTAGAATTCAACAAAGAGGCTATCAATGATCTTCAGCTGCTCCAACTCCTCTCCATTCGCAATTCCATCATCAACATACAACAACTGAAATGAATCGATCAGAACAATGAGCACAGAGAATCCATAACCATGCCAAGAATAACTATTTATGCAGACCCAAACAAGAAGAAAGAAAAAGATTCATTTTAGTTTTTCGGGATCTTTTAAGTCTCGCAGAATCTGGATCGGCGGCACAACGGGCTGGTCTACACATCCATTATTACGTGGAAACAATCTTTTGTATGGTCCTATAGATTAGTCGGGGCGGATACAAACTGCACTTTGTGTTGAAAGATGAAAAAAGAAAAAGCAAAAATCTTGAATTTTCTCATTTGTGCAGAGACTCTCACCTGATACTCTGGCTGCTTCAGTGTGTGAGCTCCTCTTTTGAAATACTTCTCCCAGCCCTTCTTCTCTACGAGTGATGTCTCTAGAGCTTCCGTTCTCTGCATATTTATACAACTCCCCAGTATTACTCTAATCATACATGCTTTTGAGTGGAAGTTTGATTCCATAGTGTTTGCATCAAAACATTTATGTTTGACACGCGTATATACAATTAGGACACAGAAACAGCGTGTAATGTCCACATGAACATGCATATGCAGGGTTCTGCCGTTCAAGACAAAATCATTAGAAGGTATAACTCACATCAGCCGGGTCCAAAATCAGGAGATTGTACTGATGACTCAATCCTCGCCAGCATTTCTGAATACCAATAATCGTTCTTGAATGCCCATCGTGTTGGAAATACAAGGGCCTGCATTACAAAGTCACAACATCTCAGGACAGGAACCCCTATGATGTATGAACAGAGTCCAATTTTGATTGTTTGTTGAAAAACCAAACTTAACCAAAAAGATTCAGCAGGCAGATCTTGAGATAGTAGTCACCTACGATTTGCTTGTCAAACGAACACCGGAAGACATGTTCCAGCTGTTGTCCGAAAAGTAATTCCAGACCCAATCCATGAGAGTCTCTTCTCTGCTGATCCTAGAAGGATTAGAACCACATCGCTTAACTGAGTTTTCCGGGTGACTCTCTTGCTTCATAATGACATATCTGTCCATAGGGCCGCATGGCTTTCTCTTGCCAGCGAGGGCGGAACCAGGAACCGAAAGATGCAATGATTCAGATTTTTTGGGAGCAAAATCAACAATTCTGGCTTTTAGGCCAAAAGACCGCAAGAGGGCAGCACATTCAGTAGTTCCAATCCATTTCTTAGAACCGTAGATCCGATTACCGAAATGGAGAGAGCCAGCAAGATCGAACCCTTTACTCCAAGCCATCTCTAACCATAGCTGGAGTGAGGGAATGTCAGGAACAAAACCAGAGGCCCCGAAAAGCAGTGGTCTAACTTCTTCTCTATGAGAAAGCAAGTGAGAGCATTGCATTTGAATGTTACGCCATCCACAACCCCAACCAAGATCCTCTGAAGGATTACACTGAAAATGATCAACGTAGCCCGACAGTAAACAGGCAGCGCCTTCCTGGGGCTTCGGTTTCGATCTGAGTTCAGATTCCAAACAGTTTTTCAGCAGACAAATCAAACCATCTTGTCTGACTCTGTAAAATGTGCTCTTGGTTTGTGAAGACACCAAGCACGCGACTTTCCCGTCCAAATCCATGGAATCGTCAAAAGTCTGCACAAATTCAACATTTGTCTTAACGTTTTCGAAATGGGTTTTCGGTAATCGACCAAAAACATCAAACCATACGAGCAAACGTAGAAACGAAGATTCTAGCATCGGAGAAAGAGTTACAGCTGAAGAAGGAGAAGGATCAGAAGAGGCGAGTTGCAGAGCCAATTGCTCATCGCAGAAGTCCTGGACACCATCTTCATCACTCTCGAAATGGGCATTAGCATGGCTGAAACAAAACACCCACCATAAGCCCACACCTCAAATCCGTCGAGAAAACCCGCGACGAAGATACGAGGAAGAGAAAGAGAAATTAGGGTTTTTTTACCTCTGAATTTCGGAGAGAGGAAGAGTGAGATTGCAAACGGGACAGGAAGCAGACATTTCTTCTCCTTCGCAAAACGTATCACTGAATCAAACCGAGAAATCGATCAAGACGATCTTCCGCCGCTCTTTTCTTTGCGACGGAGAGATGACGACACGCTGACGTCATCCCCGGCTACAATCATATAATTGTGAAAAAAATATCATCGTGTAAGAAAACTAATTGCATTTCTCGCCATTGGCAGCGACTGCCATGTCAGGCTCTGGGTTTTCTCCCTTCGATCAAGACTTTCTCTGCGCAATCTCAAGAAATGGAAACAAGAAAACTTCTGCAGATGACACAGCAAAAGGGAACCAGAGAACATCTCGACGGAAAGAAGAAAACTGAGAGAACTAAGCTGTCGGGAGAGAGGGAGAAGCCTTGCCTGTGAGTAAAAGGACTTCTGGTAATTAGGGCATCGAAGGTTCTGCACTCTGAGGAGACATGGTCAAATGGACTGGACGACCCACCTCTCGGCAGATGCCGATGATGCACTCCTCACCTTTCCGTAGAATTTTTCATTACCGCCGTCGAGGTTCTCGGCGGAACCCATGATCATTCTCCTATGCCAAGAATGAACGCGCAACGAAGGAATTCCCGGAATCCGAGGGCACAGGTTTCTCTAATTTTCCCAGAATCCGAGAGGGAATTCCCCGGAAAATACCCCACTCTCTAAAACCAAATGAGCACAGGTTTCTCAAAGGGTCGGCTCCGAATTCAAATTCCTAGGAGATCAAACAACCCCCCCCCC